GTTTAGAATTAAAATGTGTGCTATAACTGAAAGGTTGTGAACCTTAGTAGACTAAAAGGGCTTAAACATGTACTGCGCATCCCCAGCCACCCCCTACCTAGACTTGCCATGCTTAAGGAAGTTGGATTAAGTTGGAAGCGGGTTCAAAATGTCCAGACCAAGACGTGGCACCAGTCGAAAAAGTCTCTTATAGTTGGTCTAGGCCGGGTGCGGAAATGTAGACTGCCTGGACGGCTGGGCTAGGTAAGACAAAAGGAGTCAGTGGTTGAGAACTGTTGATAACATGCTGAAAATCGGTCACAATGACGCTGACGTATTCACTCATTGACATCCTCTAAAGCTTGAATATTTGACCTATCCGCTATCTTCAAACTGTTTATTGTCTCACATAACTTTGTCTACTTTGGTACCACTCTTTTTCTACCTGTCTGTCCATTGTATGCTACTGTGAAGTGTGACAACTTCAGCCGATCAGCCTATGTGAGATGTTCTACGTTGATTTTGTCACTCAGTTAGTCATACCTGAGTGAGATACTGAAGTAGATTCTTTTGCTACCTTTAACATGGTCTTACTAGCAACCGGACTAGGTATGCTAGATCATATAAAGATAATAGATGATCTAACAACAGTATTTAAAACTTTACCTTTTAAACACCATTATTCAGTTTGACCAGCTAAATATTAGGGAGATCAAGAAGTCAATCGGGATTCCTAAGGTTCTTGTAAAACTTAACTTGTTTATTTCATGATTCAGAAGTAGAAGGTATCAAATAGCTCTATTTTCATCATCAAAAGTTAGGGAAGAAAGAAAACTATTCAGCCCAAGAGGTATTGAGTCTCCAGCATTATTGTATACCGTGCAGTATTTTATCTCTCAGATACTTGGTTGCAACTTACGAATGAATATTTAGCAGCTCCACGTATTACTATATACGGTGTGATAATCATTTATGGGCATACACCTCCTGCTAGACTTTACTTAACTCACAGGTGCTGAATTCCCATTAGTATTACAAGTTAAACCCAGAGGTGTAATATTAATGTACTCGTTGTGAGGCGTGAAAGAATTTGGTTGGATTTTACACTGTGTTTGTTAAACAGTGGGAAACAGGAAGAGAGATTCTGTTGGGTAAAAATTCTGTTTAACTAAGGTCATAACGGAGGCCTATTGCAGAAAAACAGCTTAGTACAGGGAATGCTCATCAACTACATCCATCCTTAAGTTCTTTTTCAAAATACTCACTTGTTCCTGACAAATGAAGAAGTCTAAAAGCAGCACATTATCGAATACAGTTGATTATAAAGTCATAGGATTTTGTACGGTTAAACTCTGAAGTGAACGATGTTACAGCTTTTAAAAACAGATAGAGAAACCATCTTAGTTAACTGCGAATTTTGCATATGATTTATGGCATCCCAATCAGTAAGCAATTTGACGTCATCATTCTGATTAGTTACACTTACGGAAGCGAAAATTTGTTCAAGAGCTGACAACGAATTCCATCATGAAAACTTTATGATAGTTAAGAAGGACTGAATAACGGAATAAAAAAGCAAAATAGTAAAGTTTACCGAGACTTAAACCAACCTAATGATCATCTTCAACACCAAAGCAATATGTATGAATTACTTGGTTTCAGTTTGCAAAAAGTAATGAAGTTTCATTGTCCTGAACAAACGTTAAGCAAACTGGATTTTCTCGTGACATGTATTTTATAACCGAAGATTTTAATCCATCTACGTTGACAAATCTAAAACAGAATAAATTGAGCGAACAACTGTTTTCAATACTTCTTCTTCAGGCTCTACAGTTATAAATTCATGAGAATAAGTGAAATACAATAACCGAAATAAGACATGACGTACAATTTTACAATATTAAGACAGTCAGCATTATGGGTGAATGGAGATCAAATGGAATGGAATGGTGGAACTGTTATCAGTCTAGTGTGTTAGCTGTGCAATGAAATCAATATTGACAGAACAGTTACGAAATGAGGAGACGAAATCTATAAAAGATGTTTCTTTATATATATTTACTGGGGCATGAATGTGTGTGTGTGTGTTTGTTTACTGAGGGTCGAATAATAATTATGTAGTGATGAGTGGGATGAAAATCATGTGAATACTATAACGAAATAGAAATGTGATGTATTACGTCACGGTTGAAAATGACTACAGGTTGTGGCATGAATAAACAAGGGTGTAAAACTAATGACATAAGAAAATGAATGTTCATCAAAGTAGTGACAATATAGAAGAAAAGAATGTGAGGTTAAAATGTGCAATTTGTGGTAAGAAAGCTCATAAAGAACGTATCGACCCTGTTTGTGGGCTAAAGTAAACAAAGTGGATGTAGATATTCCTTTAGAACACATAGGTTCAGTTCTCTTGCATTGATCGTTGTGGCTTCGGCTATGGATACGACACAAAGTAGTGCACCTTTAGGGAGACTGAAAGGGACATGGTATATCACAGATAATCTTAATCTGATGTCCAGTATCTCCTAAATATGAGAGGATTGGACTGTTGATGCTCTTTTGTCATTCCTTTCCCTGATCAGGATGGTAGGTGTTCACGAACGGGTATGGATACAGCCATTTGAGTATGGCCTGTATAACTAGCTCCATAGGAGCAGTTGAACTCATTAATGTACACTGAAGTAGCTACCATTGGTAACCTATGCTTGGTTCGCTGTGTCAGTAATGCTTTAGTTGGGAAGCTGATAAAAAGTTCCCGTGTAATGAATGTCTTTTTGACTGGTCTACTTAATCGACGTGTTAAGATAACCATTTTGCTGCAATGTTATCCTCAGTTTATTCATTTCTTCTTCAACACAGAACAAATGTTTCTTATTCTATAACTAAGGAATTTGACCAGATTTCTTTTATACTGACTCGGTGTGAAGCTATGAAAGTGAATATATTGACCAGTTCATGTGTTCTTTCGAAAAATATTCCTTTTAGTATACCCATCCGTCTTCCCGGTGAGGAAGGCGTTTGGGAAAGGAATATTATTGCCTTATTCTTCCTCGCAGGTGAACCTCGTAGCTGGGTGAACTTGATTGAAGGTATTCAAGAGATCTTCTTTATTATACACATTCTTACAAATGATGAACTTATTATCCATACACCGGGAATAATAGTCTAGTTTATCCAGTGAGTCTCTGAGTGAGCCGTTTTCAAGTTTGGCTCCTAGCACAGGACCCAGAGGAAAGCCCATTGCAACCCCATCTACTTGTCACTATAATTCGTTGTTAAACATAAAGGGAATATTCATGGTGCATTTTAGTAGCAAATCCTTAACTCTTTCCAGTGGGCTTCCCACGTCTGTCTGTTGTTCTCTTAATTCATCGCAAATAAAGTTAACTGTTTCTATAAGCGGAACATTGGTAAACAATGATATCATATCCAATGAAATCATCCTCTTGTCTCGAACATTCATATTTTTGATGTGTTCTAGGAAGCTGAATACATCTTTTACACTGAATCTCACCAGTTCGCGATGTAGAGGCTCTAGCGCTCATACTGACCATTTCGCTGTTGAGTGATACAGAGAATTCACCATATTTACAATTGGACGTAGTGGAATCCCAGGCTTGTGAACCTTTGGTAAGCCATACAGCCTAGGTATATGATTGTCTGAAGACTTTAATGCATCATATATGGACTTAGAGATCAGATTTTGTTTCATCATTGTCCTATTCCACCTGAATATGACTCATTGCGACATAATTATTATTCGACCCTCAGTAAACAAACACACACACACACATTCATGCCCCAATAAATATATATGAAGAAACATCTTTTGTAGATTTTTTCTCCTCATTTTGTAACTGTTCTGTCAATATTGATTTCATTGCACAGCTAACACACTAGACTGATAACAGTTCCACCATTCCATTCGATTCTATGGGGCTCTTTAAACAATCAACGTCTGAAACAATTCTATCGAGACTCATTACTGGTGAAGATATGTGGAAGGATAATCTCATTTGGTATTGTATAAGATGTGAAAGGGTTCACCAGTTACTGCTCATAGTCAACATTTTTGATCTATAAACTTTCATAATCCAATCATTTAAAATATATATTTGGATTTCATAGCGTATTCTTTCGCCATATGTCAATAAATATACAGTGCTTCTTTTGAATTTTGTGTAAGATTCTAATGATAGTGTAGTCCAAAAATGAGTACTGAACTCAACTCAAAAGTTATTCTTTCTCTTCAGAAACGCTTGCATTATGACGTAAATCGAAGAGTGAAATATGTCCTATGAAACGACAACAATGAATTGAGTAAATACTAATTCATCACAAACTAGACACGGTTTGCATAAGGAATGAGATTCTCCAAGATTATTTAAGAGGAGCTTGTGCCGTGGAAAGGACTTTCTGCACACACACCATCTTGTACTTGTTGGTTAATGTGGGTTAAATTAGATGAATTTTGATTCTTTACAAGTTTAGTTTCCTTAATCCAGCAAACGATGTCAAAATATTGCCAGATGAATTTTGCAGCGCAATTTACTATTCGTAATCATATCAAGGCATTCAAAGGGTTTCAAATATGGTTTGTATAGTCGAACGGTCCTTATTCTTCCCTGTTATTGGTAGTGAACTTCTTAAGACATGTGTAATGTATCATAACTCCTTTTCGGTGAGTGTATTTGACATTAATTTAATGGTAAACACCTTTCGCCTTAGTATATTAGATCTTAAAGGTGTATCATCCAACCACAATAAGTAAAGTGAATGTGAGTAAGCGTATGTAGAGTAATAGCTGAGCTTTGCTCTACATTACTCATCTTAGCAGAATCTATCATTCTATCATAAGTTAAATTTTTCTATTAATATATCAATAATTTATGGTCGAAACGTCATCAAGTAAATAATACTGGATCACTGTGTGTTATGAATCAAATAAACAAATCTAATATGGAATTCAATTCTTCTTATTTTAGTCTCCGAAACAGAAGTTTTTACAGCATCAGCAATTATTCTCTGGAGGTTGTTGGGAAATTCATGAAGATACACAAGACAAAATATATAAGCAAAAAGGTAATAGTAGTAGTAGTGTGAGTAGTAGTAGTAGTAGTGGTAGTGTGAGTAGTAGTAGTAGTAGTAGTAGTAGTAGTAGTAGTAGTAGTAGTAGTAGTAGTAGTAGTAGTAGTAGTAGTAGTAGTAGTAGTAGTAGTAGTAGTAGTAGTAGTAGTAGTAGTAGTAGTAGTAGTAGTAGTAGTAGTAGTAGTAGTGACAGAAGCTTCACAAACACCAAGTTGCATTCAAAATCATAAAAGCAAAGTACCAATTAGCCTATCTCTTCTTGAGAGAGTAACAGTTCTTTATGCTTCCGAAGTATACAGGCAATACACAAAGCAGCATGACATTGAAAACTTTGAAACTGAAACAGACAGGTTACAAGGCACGGAATAAGTAAAACTCTATACTGAGTTCCAAAGATCATGACACCAAGATTGAACTCAAAAGGAAGGAAAGTTATAATCATACAATACCAAGAGAAGAAAGAGGAATTCTCTGGACAATTGAAATCAGTAATCGACAAGACTCCAACCCTGGTGCCGACATTAAAAAATCACTTTAATGGGTAGGTGACATGAATGCCAAACTGGAAGCAGACAACACAAGAAGACGATCAATCATGGGTCGAGAGACATCACTCGGTGAAATGATGAGTGAGAATGGAGAAATGTTTGCAGACTTCTGCGCATTTAATGACTTGGTGATTGGAGGCGAGACAGTGTGTACAGACACAAGGATATTCATTCAGAAATCGACGTGGATTTCACCAGACACCAGAACACACTAAAAATCAGATCGACTTCATCTCAACCTGAAGAAAGTGGAGATGGAGATGTAGCCTACTGTACACAAGATCAGATCCAGAACGGGGGGGGGTGAACAGATGTAGGTTCACACCACTAACCAACTATCTAGTGCACGGAACTTTCAAAAGCAAGTTGAAAGCCTCCGAAGAAGCTGGTGATGGACCACAGTTGAAGTTCAACACCCACCCAGAACAGAAACTGAACTGAAGGATGAAACTATTAGGGACATCTTCACGTTAGCCATCAGGAAAATATTGTAGACATTAGGCAACATCTAGTGTTATTGCTTCTACTATACCATCATCCTGGATTCCACTGCTAGCCACCATCATTCTTTATTAGGCAACATCCTCAAGGAGACCTGTGAGGAAGAACACTGGAACTCTGTGAAAGCGACGTGGAAGGAATCCCGCATAACCGTGTTACGAAGGAAGAAGAAGAAACAAGACGAGGAATGGAATGAATCTTGACGGACACGTGGAAGTTGATAGAGGAGGGAGAGGAAAATGATGGTGAAGCAGAAGATGAACGAGTGCAGTGCAGTGCAGTGCAGTGCAAGGATGAACAACGAAAAGAGGAACTGAACACAACCTATAAAACACTACACTGGACAAAGAAGTGAAGAAGGGTGCGCGGAAAGACAAAAGACACTTCGACGACACTCCGGCAAGTGAAGCAGAACAGGCTACAGGTAGGAGAGACAGAGACCTGACAGCACTATGTCAAATAACCAGGTTACTACTTGGAAGGGAAGAGATCAACACAGATGAAACCAATGAATGATAGTGAAGGAAACCTAGTTACCAATGGAAGAGGAGAAACAAACGAAATGAATGACTGGCTACTTCAAAAGACTCTTGAATCAACCACCACCACCACCACCACTGGATGCAACTCGTACACAAATACCACCAGCAGCCCAGCCACAGAATTACCAGTGAACACAAACCATCCGACAAAAGCAGGAGTGAATTCCTGAACACCATAAAACTGCTGAAATCCGGGAAAGTAGCAGGACCAGATGGAATTCCTTCAGAAACACTGAAAATAGACACAGAGACAACAGCAGCAGCAGCAGCAGCAGCAGCAGACATACTCACACCACTAATGTGGAAGGTTTGGAAGGCAGGAAGGAAAGATACCTGCTGACTGATTGGAAGAAGGGCTACCTTGTCAAACTCTCAAAGAAGGGCGACATAAGTCTTTGCAAAAACTGGTGCGGAATCATGCTCCTGTCACCACCAAGCGAAATATTAGGCCGCATCACCCTGGAGATATTGAAAGATGTGCTGGATTCAAAATGACGACAGAAACCAGGTGGCTGACTGACTGGCTGGCTGGCTGGCCGACTTCAGGAAGAACAAATCATCTGCGGATCAAACTGCAATGCTACGCTACGCATCATCATAGAACAGAGCATTGAATGCCAGTCAACTCTCCACCTCAACTTCATCAATTTCGAAAACACCTTCCACAGCGTCGACCGAGAAATAATCTAGCAGGCAGATGCTTCAACAATACGCTTTCAGTCCCACAAACATTTATCAACCTCATTCAACAGCAGCTATATCATACATGAGGATGCCAAATGTCAAGTGATTCACAATGGATCGATGAAAATCCCCCAGAAGAAGATTTGGATTTCGACGATGATGATGATGATGATGATGATTTATGTCTAATATTTTGTCGAACAAACTCGAAGATATACAGGAGGAAGCTAACAAGTTGTGAGAAGAGGCGAGGTGAGACAGCGAAGACCAGACTTCCTTCAGGTGAATGTGGAGAAGACAGAGGTGATGATGATACCCAACCAACATTAGCAACGACAACAACAACAACACCAGCAAGCACCAACCACCATCAATGTGAGAAATCTAAAGGAAGTTGTCTGTTTCACCTACCCACCTACCTATCTAAGCAGTGCAGCATCGTCTCAACTACAGGTGGCACAGGCACAGATGAGAATGTCAAAGCCAGTCAGGATTGGAAAGACATCAAGACAGGCCTTCCTGCATTAATCTGAGATTAGTGTGGAGATGTACTGTACTGTACTGCACTGTACTGTACTGTACTGCAGTACACTACACTCAGTATAAAGTGTGAACGAGATCCAGACTTTCAACACTAATGGGGAGGGTGATATGGAGGAGATTGTGTGAGGAAGAAATGAAAGCTTCTGATGAGTGGTGGAGCTAGGTTGAAAAGACTGGAGAGAAGAGATTGCAATAGAGACGTGCTCAGAAGCTCTATGCTCCACTAAAAACCCTAGGTTGAAACAGATGAAAGATGGTAAGGTCACATAACCTTGAATGTTATGTTTCTAGTTGTAAATACTTTCTTTATTCCCTTACTGATATGGTTTCATTTTTGTTGGTTATCTCTGTTTTTCTTTCCGAGTTTATTTTTACCACCAATAATGATATTTTTTTATTTTATTTCAATGAATGAATGGTTCTCTGATCATTCTCAAACAACATTGCCGCCCCCTCTTCAAATTTCATGTACTGAAAGGAAACAGTCGAGATTAGAGCAAAACAATGCAGAAACAACAAGAATCATCAGGAAATCAAGTTTATCTTCAAAAATAAAAGTAGCAACGAGGAGCGAATTCATTCATTTCCCGTTCCATGCAACAATAGATGCTTTTGTATAGATAAAAAATAATTTGAAGTAAAAAGACATGGTCAAGAATAATGTCATGTAAACCTGAGCCCTGTCTACATGCATGCACTCAAATTCAGTTTTTATCAATAACAAAAAAATATCATTCAGGTTGTTTTGATAAGGGAATAAATAATTCATTCAGAACGGAAATATCCCCTGTTTCAGTAAGAAAAAAAAATACTTTGTGGCAATGATGAATAGTGGTTGGCAGTGGCATCCATGTCGCTCGTTTCTTCCTGTTTGGGACTCATCAGCTGGAATACCTACCTCCAACAATCAACAACGTAAAAAAACTACACCCTTCCACAAGAAGGAGTTATCATGACTTGGTGACCTAGTGGATAACTCTTTGGCATTCGATGCGATCGGTCTCAGGTTCCAGTCTTAGTAGGAATAAAATCACTTACTAAGAGACATGTACATCCAGATAACGAGTCCCAGGTATGACGAGATGCGCGTCCCGGATTCTACTGCTAGCGATTACCAATCAATACACAGAAATCAAACTACAGACAATATCTAGGCATACGCGCAGAAGCGCATATGTCAATAGATAACTATCAGTTTGGTCCAGTCAATGACGGAACAATACACGGAACAACACGAAGAAAAAAGATTGTTGTCCGGCTAGTGACTTGCTGAAATCACTGTCTCAGGATGGCTTAATTCAAGCAATACTAACCAGAAGTTAACCAAAACCCAACAGATATTCTTAATCACTCCAGGTCAACAGACTACTGGAGCTTAAGTTTCTACTACGATTACATTAAATCTCAACTACATTCACATTTCCTATTGCTCTTAACCTTGAAACATTACTTCCTTCATGGGGTTGATAAACGTACTTTGTAATGTAACTGGTGACAATTAAAAACTCTCATTTTCACACTGTTCTGTCATGCAGATTGCACCTCATGTTCGAAGTACAAGGACTCAAGGCTTAAAGCAATTTTAATCCTCAATCTAATTTGAAAGAAGACTAAAGAATAAGGATAACTAACAACAACAAACTCCAATCACCATCAACAGGAGAAACTTAAATGAAGTAACCTCCTTCACCTATCTAGGCAACATCGTTTCAACTACAGGCGACACAGGCACAGACGAGGATGTCTAAGCCAGCAAGCATCGGAAAGACAGCAAGACAGGTGTTCATTAGCCTGAAACCAGTGTGGAGATCTTCTACACTCAACTCATCATGTGGAACAAGATCCGGATTTTCAACATCAATGTCAGTCAAGTAACTCAGTGCTCCTGTATAGTTCAGAAACTTGGCGCGTTAAGAAAGGGATTTCCAACAAACTACAGACACTCCTCAACAACTGCCTACGTTGGCTCAATACTGAAGGTCAGATGACCAGAAAGAATAAGCAACAAGGAAGTCTGACTGGCTGGTGACGAAGCAACCAAGAACCTATCACTCAACAAATATGCAGTGGAAGGAAGTGGAGATGGATTGGACTGGGCATACACTGAGAAGGCCGACTGGGACTCACACGTCAGGCCCTTGAGTGGAATCCCCATGGGGGAAACAACGAGTAGGGCGTCCGAGGAGAGGGTGACATAGAGGCGATCGTGTGAGGAGGAAATGAGAGCTTGTGGGCATTGGTGGAGTCAGGTTCAAAAGATTGCAGAGAAGAGAGTTGAATGGAGACGTGCTGCTGAAACCCTATGTTCCACTAGGAACCCAAGGGACAAATAATAATAATATTGAAAGTACCTCATCGTTATTTAAGAGGATACCTAAATGACAACATCAAAGAATATAA